TAGTAACTAGAAAAGCACCCAAAGCCCCAGCATCAAGCTGATGCTTAAATTTCTCCGTCATTCTCATGCCCCTTCCGTCCTACCGAGTCCCAGAGTCCAAGTCAAAGAGCAGAGAAGGAAAGACACCATCTTTTAGGGTCATTTGTCAGCAAGCCAGACAACAAATACTCTGGAGGGCCTCTGTTTCATTTTCTGTGTTCCATGTCTTGAAAAATAGAAAAACCCGAGACTAGGATTATCTTCTGTTCCCTCCAGGCTAGACTTTGGATCACTTCCTTATTATCTCTTTCCCTGGAATTAAAATGTCCATTACCTACACAATTTTAAAGAGCATTGGATTGAGAGATGGCTAGAGAGATGGAAAGTATACTAGTCAGCTCAAAAGAGGAGGTGGTTTCCTGGCATGTTCAGACACGGATGCCAGAACTCCCAGACCACACATGGAACTACTGCCTTCCACGGCTCGGACTGAAACCAACACACTTGGATGAACCCACCAGGCACCTGTAGGCGTGGAATATCAGCATGGCACCAGCCCTGCCCTCTGAGTCTCCTCATCTAGTTGAAAGAAGGACGTCCAGGAATAGAGAACAAAAGAAGTGGGGTTGAGACCACAGAGAGTTAAAAGGAGGAGAATACGGTCAACTGATAGTTAGAAGAGGCAGAATTTTCATTTGTCCTCCCGACAACTTGAGCGCCATGATTGAGGTGTAACCGCCGTGGCACTCAACAACAGTCACGCACAAGAGAGAAACGTCTTCCCTTTCTAATCCTCCGATTCTTCTGATGGTGCCCAGGAGAGCGCCTCAGTTGGGTGTGTCTTTAACACTCTAAAAATCTATTTTTGTGCTGAGAGAGAGTGGGCTTAGAACCTTGGGGAGGCCACAGAATCTGGCTAGGACTTTTTTGCCCAGGAAGAAGGAGCCATGTTTTTGAAATTGAAGTATAGTCAATTTACAATGTGTTAATTTCTGGTGTACAGCATAGTGATTCCTTTATACACATATATATTCTTTTTCATTATAGATCATTACAAGGCATTGAATATAGTTCCCTGTGCTCTGCAGTAGGACCTTGTTGTTTATCTACTTTATATATAGTAGTATCTAGCTTATTTTCATTGTGGTAAAATATGTACAACATAAAATCTACCATCTTAACCAGTTTTCAGTGTACAGTTCAGTCATATTAAATCCATTCATGATGTTGGGCAACCATCACTAACACCTGTTTCCATAACTCTTCTCATCTCATTAGACTGAAACTCTACACCCATGAAACGTTACCTCTGCATTCTCCCCTCTTCCAGGCCCTGGCAACCACCATTCTACTTTTAATCTGTCTCTATGATTGTGACTACTCTGAGTCCCTCATGTAAGTGGAACCATATGGTGTTTGTCCTTTGGTAACTAGTTTATTTCATTTCATTCAGTGTCTTCAAGGTTCGTCCATGTTGTAGCCTGTGTCAGAATTTCCTTCCCTTTTAAGGCTGAATAATATTCCATTGATGTATAGACCACATTTTGCTTATCTACTCATCCATCAATACATGCTGGGGTTGCTTCCAAGTTTTAGCTATTGTGAATAAAGCTGCAATGAACATGGGTGTACAAATACCTCTTTGAGACTCTGCTTTCACTTCTTTGTCGAAGTGTTGGATCATTAAGCAATTCCATTTTAAATTTTTTGAGTAACCACTATACAATTTTCCACAATGGCTATACCATTTTAGGTTCCCATTAACAGTGCACACGGGTTCCAGGTTCTTCACATTCTCCTCCACGTTTTCTATTTCTGTTGTTGTTGATAGCAGCCATCCTAACAGGTGGAAATGGGATCTCATAGTTCTGATTTGCATTTTCCTAATGATTATTGATGTTCAGCATCTTTCCATGTGCTTATTGGCTCTTTGTACATCTTCTTTGGAGAAATGTCTATTCAAGTCCTGTCCCCATCTTTTAGTTGGGTTGTTTGGGGTTTTGTTGTTGTTGTTCTACTTAGGATTCTGTAACATGGTTTGTTTTCATTGTGTTTAAGTTTATATTTATCTCTTATTAATGGCATACATGGTAGTAATATACATTCCCTTCTAAATTAATTTATTTAAATTTAAAAAATAGAGTCAAGAGCTGGAGAGGCTCAGTTGTGGCCTGATCTGAGCCTCTAGATCCAGCTGAGCCTGCAATCCATACTATCCCCGTGCTTTCCATTTGTCAAAGCTCATAGCTCTTTTTGTTTGTTTGTTTGTTTCAAGTTCATTTGGGATTCTATCACTTTCAACTGAAAAAAATCCCGGCTGGAACACTACCAGTCTCCCTGGGCTCCAGGCTACTGTCACACAGCTCAGTGACAGAGTCAGGATTTAAATTCAGTTCTATCCAATTCCAGGGACAGAGTTCATAACCATTAGGCAGCACTGCCTCCAGAACGCATCCCCTAGGTTTATAAAAACACCCATTTTCCTTGGTGTGTCATCAAGGAGTCACTGCCTCTCCATTTGTCTTGTTTCCTTATTCCTGTAATTGCTGATGAAAGGTCGTAGGAAGGAACAATGACGGTGTGCTTCCTCTGCCGAGGACGCTAACGAACGGTCCTCCTCCTCCTCTCGAGTCTGTCAGCCCTCCTTGATCATCCTTTGCTATCTCTGCCATCAAATGTACCCCTAAGAGAAGTGAAATATCAGGACACTTCTGGGCCTCGGCCAAGTGCATGGCGGGGCCAGTCTGTTTATTTTTCATCAACTTTTTCTAAGCTGGCAGATACGCGGATATATCTGAGACTGTACCTCTCACTTCAAATTTGACTCAGAATCCAGCCATTGAGAATATTGTGATTTATCTCGATAAGCATCCCTTCGGGACGCCTCTTCATGTGCTTTGTGACTCTTTTGAAGATTGTTTTCCCTTAAATTTAGGGGATTTAAATGAGAGTAACATAATGCGGTATGAAGTTTTCCATTATCCTGGAGTTCTTCCTCTTGCCTGGCTTCATCAGCAGAAGTCCTGGACTTGCTCAGAGACCGGATAATTAAGTCCTTTTCCATGCTGTCCAAGTCTGAGCTGTGCACCTCCCCATCTTCGTGTGGTCATTGAGATGCACTGGAGGAGGTCCCGGGCTCCAAATTCCTTGCTCTAAAAGTGACATAAGTTGAATATACAGTTTCCAGTGAAATAAAAACTTCAGCCCTGCCAATTCCATGTGCTCAAGGGCTAAAAGAAATTGGCTGATCCCCAGAAGAAATCTGACAGTGAGTAACAGAAACTTGTTTGAGAGCACTGGAGTTTTTTCTATGTT